TTTCTGGACACATTCAATTGTATTAATGTCCGATATGCAGTGCGGGTTCCAGACAAGTGAGCTGTATTCAAGAATTGGTCTAGCAAATTAGGTTAATAATAAGTTACAAAAGTGCCACTGCCTTTCTATGCAATATGTGGATGGCAGAAAAGGTCTTGCCTGTTTGTCCGTCCATCCATCCATTCATCCATCCATCCATCCACCAATCCTCAAGATTCCCATCATAGTAGTACGGTGAGGGAATTAGTGTACAAATGTATGCCAATTTTGTTTCTAAAAGAACTACAGCATCCCAGGGTACTAGTTAAGTAATTTTTCTCCTTTGCTGTGTTGATCACAAAGAGGGAATATTGATCAGCTCATATAGTGACCTCAACAAATTCCTTGTGTTTTCTTGTAAAGGCAACTATAAATTCTTTTATACCATTTTGCAGGTTTGGGAAAATAAAAATGATGATGGCAAGGAAGTTCCATAAGGCAGGGGGAATCCTAGAAACATTAAGATAGGCAATCAATGTTTAGCTGGCTAAATCACTACCCAGAAGAAAGGATTAAAAAATGAACTTTCCTGAAACCACAGAAAAAGAGAAAGGCACGTTACAAGAAAGATAACACTGATTAAACATGGTACAGATCAGTAAAAGAACAAGTCAGTATGGCCACCTAAATTTTATAGCAGTCAGCTCTGCAATTTTCAGTCTGAAAGAGTTTTTAATATAGGTTATTTGTAGAAATTATTAATAATTCTATCTCAGCATGTAAGGGCTTGTAATCCCTGTTGCATTAATTTTTATGGCAACCATGGGAACCTGTTAACAAGCCTACTTACCAAACCAGTAAGAAATAGTCCTTGAAATAAAGTCAGAAAGATCCATATTTGTGGCCAGTTACAATCAAAACAAATTGATTTTACATATCCGATCATACAGGTGGTCAGCGCTGTAGACCATTCCATTTTTATCTTCAATTAATGAAGCAATCATACAACAAGGTGACCCAAAACATCAGTTTGCCATGGCAAAAGTAGATACCAACTATACCCCTAGAGGGCAGACAATACTAGATACACGCAGAATGGATTTGTTCTATCCTGCAGCAGCATGGTATGGCACACCCACTTTTTAAAGCCAATTGTTACAGCTATAAAATTATCTGGGCACATTAAATCCACATTAAACCCCTGTGAATCTTGCCTTTTTGGGAAAATGTCCCAAATTGATAATAATTGATTTTTCAAAAAAAAAAAAAAAAACCTTTGAAAAAGTATTTCTGCACTATACCAATAAAGAGGAAAAGGTGCCTGTAGTCTTAAGTCTTCTAACAAAATTATTCTTTCACTTGCACAATGTCCCATTGTTTAATATCGCTTTCCTTTAGAAATGTTTGCAGCCGCTACTCAGTACTGCATTTCACGAATGAAGTTTATGAGATGGAAGGAAGGTGGGGCTGCAATTGATCCTCATAGAGGGTTGCAGATTAGGGTGTGGTTGTGCTAGCAATGAGAGATTGACAGCACTGTCCTGATGCCAATCTAATAACCCGAGAAACAGGGTGTGAAAGGATGATGTAACAGGACCTTGGCCGTGATGGAGACTGAGCAGGAATGAGGAGGAGTTTGGGAGAATTAAGAGCAGGTAAGAATAAGATTGTTGTAGTAGTGGGCAATGGGACATATTGTGGAAATCGGGATGAACTGCTCACAAAACCAATGTCTCTTATAGGTCCCATGTTCCAGTCTCCTGCCTCTATCTCCAGTTCCTGGTTGTCAAATTTTGAGCAGCTTTGTACTCCAGCTGGTACTTTTAAATACCAGGTCGGCCTGTAATAAAGTTAATCTCATCTGGGATCTAATCCTAGATGAGAGAGCTGACTTGGCATGTGTTACTGAGACCAGGCAAAGCATGAGGAGGCGTGTCCTTCTCTGAAATGGTATTCGGAGGGTTTCTAGTTTGGCACCAGCCACCACACACCAGCTAGAGTGCAGATGGAGTTGCTATTGTTTTCTGAGGGACTCTGAGAGTTCATTCAGCTTGAGAATTTGGTATTTTTCAATACCTTTGACAGCCAAGACGAGACAAATGCAGTTACTGGTGATTTGGTTCCTGAGATAACCAACAAAGCCTATTTTTACTGATATGTGGACACACAGCTTCTTTCCATGGAATGCAAACTTTGTTGAATATGGAGTATATATATATATATTTAAAGCATTTTGTTCCATAAAAAGTTCTGGTAACAATTGATTGCTTGACATTTTCACGTGTACTTAGAAAACAAGCCATCCTTCTCTTTTTTTAAAAAAAACTCTGCTAGATTGCTGTGTGAATGGTTATTAAATTATATTTAAAAAGTCATGCTGTTTTCTGTATCAAAAGTTCTTTAATATGTGCGATTGCATGTTTACAAAAACGTTTTGTCAGTTATATACCATTACAAACACAACATTCAATTATTTTTACAGGCAAACGCTTTCTGACTTAAATGCAAAATTATATTCCAAAAACTTTCTAGCCCTGTGAGAACAAGATAAGGTGACAAGCTTTCCTAAACGCATTAATCTACTGTCAGACGATTACTCACAACACTTTTAAAAAGAAGCTATTATTTAGGGAATACTCAGAAGTAGGACACAGACTTAAAAGAATTCAAAGCAGGATGGATTACATAACGAGAGATTTTGAGGGGATTTATCTTCAAAAACCATTTAATATATGCTGCATAATGCCCCTTCCAAGGGCAACCGCATGTATTTTATTACAAATGGAGGCAAACGTTCAAACTGGAATAGTCATCCAGATAGACTTCTGATGAGGCAGAAGGCATGAGAAAAATGAAACACACGCTCCTGGCCCATTAGTGCTTTAAGTTAATCAGGAAGCTGAATGCAGGATTAAATGAGCATTTGGCAAAACAAAGGAATTCTGCTTCCAAAAGGGTTTACAAAAAAATCTTTAAAGTTAAATCCTTAAATTGACGTACAGAAATATAAACAAACAAAAAAGATATCCCATTTGCTGTTAAAGAGAAGTCTAAAAGAAAAACTAGAAGACTTCTTTAGCTCAGTTTGTTTGATTCCCACAGATTCTTTTTTTTTTTAAGTTTAATAACCCCAAAGATGAAGATGATGGCAGCACCATTATTTTATCAATCTGATCTGATTGTTTCAAAAATCCTTTAACCGGTTTAGTATTAAATCATTTCTTTTATTAAATGAATTTAATCTTATCATGATCACAAAATGCATATTGGGTCATATTCTGTGATCAGAATATAATTACAGTTAAAAGAGATATATTCAACAATGGATTAAACTTAATTGGAAAATGCAACCTTCTTTTAGGAATTATTTTTTATACTATCAGCTTTCAAGGATGGCATCTGGGATCTATACACATTCAAATGCTACTCAATATTTGAAGTTGGTCTAACAGCCATATGAAAATACTACTGTATATTATCCATCCAACAGATGGCTGAGGTGGTAGAAGGGAAGGTAGTTTAGGTGGAAGTTTGGTGACTTGTAAATCTGAGATGTTGATTTAACCCAGAATCACCTGCTTTAGTATAATCTAATTATAACTTTAGATAGATAGGGAATGATAGGCTGGAGGTACGTATTTTGGGGGCAGGCAGGGGTGGAGGCACAGAAGAATGGGATTTTGATTGTGATGTGCAAGAAAAGATATTGTAGGATCCAATCTGGATCGGTCACCAGGATCAGGGATTTTGTCTTCCAAGCTTTTGGACTCATGCTGGAGCCCATCTTCAGAGAACTTCACTGCTAGAAGACAAAACATCTCTGGTCCCGGTGACTGACCCAGATTGGATTCCTACAACATTATCCCGGGATAATGGGGCGGGGTGGGAAGGGCACAGAAGAAGGGGACATGATTCATAAGAAAAGATATGACAGGAGGCTGAGAGTAAGCCTCACTCAGAAAATGTGACTTAGGAACCTTCAACTAATTGGACAATCTAGAACTACGCCGATAACTGTCTGACCTAAGCATAGTACACAAAATTGTCTGCTACAACGTCAATGACTACTTCAGCTTCAACTTCAATAATACATGGGCAAACAATGATACAAATTCAAGGTAAACCGCTCCAAATTTGATTGCAGAAAATACAACTTCAGCAACAGAGTAGTCAACGCCTGGAATGCACTACCCGACTCTGTTGTTACATCCTCAAACCCCCAAAACTTTAACCTTAAACTGTCTACCATAGACCTCATTCCTAAGAGGTCTGTAAGGGGGTGTGCATAAGCGCACCAGCGTGCCTACTGTCCCTGTCCTACTGTCCCCATGTATTCATACTCATTTCCTGTATTCATGTCTATGTTTATACTTATACCTGTTTTCTCATACATGTTTGACAAACTAAATAAATAATTTTTTAAAAATTCCCCTTTTCCAGGGGATTTTTACACTGGGATCCACAATTTCAGATCTTTGGAACCCAAGGGCCTTGGCATATTAAATGCCAAGTCTGCTCATAATAAAATATAACAAAATTATTTGTATTCCCAATTGGATTGCGCATGAGAGAAAAGACTTGGATTAATCCAAGTTGTGAAAACTTGATGGCAGAGAAGGGGCTGTTTCCATCTTCAAATTCTGGCCACCCAGTAGTGCTGGAACACTTCTACCTGGCTTCCTTCCTTCTGAAGAGTTCTGGAGTGGCCTACAGTGAATTCACAGCCACTGTGCCAACTATGGGCCTGAGGGTCCAAAGAATAAGAGTGGCCACACACTGAGTTTGTAAAAATATCAGACATTGACAAGATATTATTTTGTGACAATTTTATGAAAACAAATTATAATTGTTCTGAAGAACAACATTTTTCCATGGGGGGGGGAAATAAAAGAGGTACACATCAGTGTTCATTACAAATATTTTAAAATCTTCATAGAATGTGAATTCAGACTTTCTGGCATTAGAAGAATTAAAAGAAGTATGAACAAGCCATATTTCACACACAACATGGCAAAACTCACCTTTATCATTTCTGCTACATAACTCTCAGGCCCTGTATATTCTGTAGAGTCTTTTACTTTTACCAACACAATGAAGAATAAATAGTGCCACATATTGTGCTCCTCTTTAATATGTTCTTCGAAAGTTACTGTCTTGTTATCAAACTTGTCTCTTTCCAAACCTAAAGAGGAAAATGAAACACGACCTCTGAACACAATTGGAGGAAGAATATTCAACCATATACAGCATATGTTTTCATATAGCACATTGACTGGTTAATTAGATGACTGGATTCCACTGAAGTTTTTTTAAAGACAACCCCAGTAATATAAAACAGCTTTTTTTAACAGCACTACATTATTTTACTGTATTTTAAGACTACCTATACATTGTAGCAAGGGATGTGGTGGCTCAATGGCTAAGACGCTGATCTTGCCAATCAGAAGGTCGGCAGTTCAGTGGTTCAAATCCCTAGCGCTGCATAATGGAGTGAGCTCCCGGTACTTGTTCCAGCTTCTGCCAACCTAGCAGTTTGAAAGCACGTAAAAAATGCAAGTAGAAAAATAGAGACTACTTTGGTGGGAAGGTAACAGCATTGAGTGGTCAGCATTGAGTCATGCTGGCCACATGACCAGGGAGACATTTTTGAACAGCGCTGGCTCTTCGGCTTTGAAACGGAGATGAGCAGCGTCCTCTAGACAGGTTCTACTTACCTTTACTACCGGTTCGCATCGTGCCCGCATGCACAGATCATTTATGATGACATCCGGGTCAATGGGCGGAGCCTCCCGCTGGTTTTACTACTGGTTCCATAGAACCAGTCTGAACTGGGGGCAACCACCACTGCCCCTAGAGCAGGAAACGACTAGCACACATGTGCGGGAGAACCTTTATAGATTGTAAACTTTTTTTTCTAGTAATGATAAGGTTCAAATGAATATTGCTTGGCTCTTAAGTATAGGCATAGTCTGGGTTGTTTACACAGCTTCCATGTTGTTCGGCCCTAACTACAACTCTTCTTTGTAATTTATAAAACATTATCTCAGCACCAAATTTCCAGGGGATCTTACCTTCTACATCTATCTAATGTACAGAGAGCTGCCCATGCATTCCTATTTTTTCAACCCTGGCTAATCCATGAGAAGACTAACCTCTTACCCTATGGCAAATGTAGCCTTCAGAAAGTAGCCTTCAGAAAGGACTCTGTTAAAGCCTTAACATTACATGCCCTCTAGCAATTTATTCTAAAAACATTCATAAAATGTTGATTCCATCACAAAAAAATTGTGCATTTTTGGGGGTGGGGAATGGAGACATTCCTCTATCTGCCTAGAACTGAACTCTTGCTGATTCTGATACTTACCACAAATAAAACATGTTGTTTTCAAAATTTCTTCTTTCTTCTGTTTCTCACTTCTTAGATCAGCAAAGGTATCGATAATGACTCCAAAAATCAGATTAAGGACAATAATGATCACCATGAAGAAGAAGAGGAGGTCATATATCACTCTTGCAGCAAACAGAGGTTCCTAAAATGCAGATGGTTTTCCGATAGTAAATGGAAAGTATTAAAAGAAAACAAAGCTACAAAGGGGAATGTTACTTGATGAGTGAACATTATAGATGCCTTTGTTTGATACAATGAATTGTTGATGACATACCTTTGGAGAATAAATAATCAGGACTAATCTGATTTATCTTTTAAATCACCTGTTTAAACCACATATCTACAAAGGATTCATTTGGGATTTCCTGAAGCAATCCTTCCTTGTTTAAAAACATATATTTGCTTATGTCTTTGTTATATTCCAACAGAATATAACAATAACAGATTGGAAACATAACTTAAAATAGAGCTTAAAAATTTCACCTGCGCTATGTTATTGTTAGGAAATGTGATCCAAATTGGAGTCCCATAAAATTTTTTGAGATGCAGGAGTACAGGAGTTAATGGCTATAGCTAAAGTATCATGTTCATCTGTAATTTTCAGAATTAAGTACACATATATTTTTCAATTCCCTAAATATATGAATAATTTATATTTAAAGAACATTTTTTTCAAAAGGTAGATTAAATGTGTTGCTATCAAATACAGTATACAATATGGGAGATTTTTTAAAAACCTCATCTCTCAAAGATTTTGCCCCTGTAATGCTACTGATATTGTAATGGTGGATAATATTTAATTGTATTGAGAATTTTATAAGACTCTCTGGCAGGAAATTTCTATGTACAATACATACCACACTAGGCCACATTATACTTGTGGATTATAAAACAGGAAGTAAGACATGGGTGTGTGATATTGTTTGGATTAAACCATTGAGCATATTGAAGTACTATATTTAAAAATATATAAGAAATGACTGTGATGGTGTTATAGGTGTATTGGGTGGGGAAGTGAGCATATGCAGTGAATCTTAGGTAGACTGTATTATGCAACAAGCATACAAAATAATGTATTGAAGATCAAGTTCCCAGATTTCGATATGAAAAACAGAATGAATGATATAATATACATAGATGATGAAAAACTAGAGCAAGTAAAGGAATGAGCTTGTTTTGGTAGAATGTTTATAAAGATAGGGAAGTAGATAGATATATTTGAAGACACACAAATGAGATAGTATGTTGTCTGTTGCAAGGAATGAATCTGGAAAGATATGAAAGTGGGAGTGCATGAGAGCATACTTTGGTCTTCTTTGTTCAACGGAAGTGAAAGTATATCAGAAGAAATATAGAAGTAACTGAATGCAGTGGAAATGTCCTATTGAAAAAGTGCGTGAAGTAAAACAGGAAAAAAACATCAAGAGTTTAAATAAATATGGATTGCTTTTGAATAAGGACTGAATACAATGTGAACTACTAGTATAAAGTAGTTTCTTTTGAAGACGTTTCGCTTCTCATTCAAGAAGCTCCTTTAGCTCTGGTAAGATAGTGGGGAATGGAAGGATGTAAGTGCTCTAAAAGGATGCGGATTACCAGCTTTCTGCAAGGAATATAAATCGTTCCATTTCCCACTATCCTGTCGGAGCTGAAGAAGCTTCTTGGATGAGAAGCGAAACATATTCAAAAGAAAAAAAAAACAAGAAAGTACAGTGGCAACCTGAAAAAAACATCTTTGGGACAAAATTCACATAATCTTAAATGCTGTGAGAAATGGGTTAAAATGAAAATATAAAATATAGCAGAGATAAATGCAAATTCTTCTTTTTAGGAATCACAAATCAAAATAGGGGATCCCTGGCTTGGCAATGCTATTTGTTACCGAATGTGGGAGAAAGGACAAATTCAATATTACGTATTGAATATTCAGTATAGTTTAAATCACAAAAACAGATTCATGTTATACTTTGTTATTCATTTTTCACTTTGCTAACTGTGTGCCGTTAAGAAGGATTTAGATAAATTGCAGTATGTTGAGAGAAGGACAAAGATGATAGGAGACCTGAAAGTAGATTTTGTGAACAGAGTTTGAAGGAACTGAAAAGATATAGCCTTGAGAAACTAAAACAGGATGAAATTACACTGAGGAAAAAACCTGCATAGAAAAATGTCAAGATAGGTTTGCGATGGCCCTAGAGTGCAGGACATGGAATAACAGATTTAGTTTGCAAGAAAACAGTTTCTTACATAATATTAAAAAAGCATGATATGCATGATATACAGAAGCAGCTCCCCAAAGAGCTGATGGATTCTTCTTCACTGGATGCATTCAGCTGGGCAGCCAGTAATGTTTTAATTTGGATTCCTGAACTTAATAGCAGCTTTGACAGAATTGCCAACTTTATGATTCTACAACTAAAGTAGTGTTGGAAACAGTTTTATAGCCCTCTTGCCACACTTGTTAGAAAACCTATTTGTGGTCAAAAATATGTTTACAGGTACTAAAAAAATGGACTTTTGGGAAAGGTCTTGGCCTGGTAATATGATGTAATTACTGCAACATTAATAAATCATTTATTAGAGTAACTATAACTATTATTAAGACATCAACACTGATATTTACACATTTAGCTGGCACCATACATACTGATACATTCCACAATATTAATACTATATAAAATCTCATTTCAAACTTTATTTTTAAAATTATTTATGACTCTTCAATACTTTCTTGTTATCACATACATGTATTACTCCTTTCACATGCAATGTTAATTTACCTCCTTGGATGGTTTCCTGAGTACATCTCCTACTCCACCCCCGCTTCTCAGCCCATGACTAAGCACGGTAACAATGCACATCAGCAACGTCTCACATGTATGTTCTTTATCCTCTTCAGATTCTTCAGAAGCTAGCTCTATTAAATAAAAGAAGTTTGGGATATGACCGTGAGAGAGTGGGAGCCTGAAGATCACTTTCATATTTTGCACAAGCATTTTAAAGCCAAATAAGAACTGTTCATTGCTTCTCTTCCTCTCGCCTATAGTTCAAGAACCTATCTGCAGAGCTTTGTGATTCCTTGGGTTATTCAGAATTTTTTTCAGAATGTGAATTTTTTTAAAATTGGAAACCTGTCTTAATCTCATCCTACAAACTGACTCATTACATCTGGGATGCCTTTACAAGAAACAATGTAAGCACATTTTCAATGCAAGCATATAAAGAAGCATTAGACTATCTCTAATTTCGATTCAGAAGCAAGCATGCCATTAATGCTTAGTAGCAAGATATTTTTATAATTCTGGAGCCTTATCAGTAGCCATCAATTCCAACCAAATTCATTTACACATACATAATTTGTCTAATGAAAACTTTGAACATGGACACTTTTATTTGTTTTTGTCTCCTGAAAACTTTGAATATCTTTCTGATGTATATTTGTATGTTCACAAAATGACCTGGACTGTGATAATGAACAACTACCCCTACCCCTAACCCTACCCACTTTCTGGCTCCCGTATTCCCCATTGCCCACTCTTGTTCTTCCTTATCACTTTATGACAAACTCTGGAGCCCACCTAAGTCTATCCATCATGAGATAGAAAGTGTCAATGTCGTTTTGTATAAGTCTTCCTGAATTCAGAAACATATACAACTGCTACCAATTTTCCAGCAAAAATAGTCAGCAAAGTTTTACTCCATGCATTTAACACTACGTCAGGACAATAATTCTAGATGAATAAAAACTCCTGGATGTTATTGCCACTGATGGAAGAAATAGAGATGGGGGAACTGAAAAATGTGGAGGAAAAAAAATATGTGGGCGAGGCCACACTAAAAGAGTTAGTAATGCACAGATAACCATGAGTAACTATACATTATTGTATGATGGAGATTGGATTATAGTATTTGAGAAAGAATGAAATGTTTACGAGGCCCAGAAGAAGCAAGAATTTTTCCACAATTAATGCAGCATCCTAGCCCTCTTAAATTTATAACTTAAACTTCTTAAAAAATAAACTTGTGGCCCCTCGGAGTGATTTTAATTGTGCATTCATTCTACAAAGAAAATGTTGCATTTGTTTTGGCTGTGGTAAATGTTACACATTAAGAAAAACGAACTAGCGGTCTCTTCAAATGACATGAATTGGGCACTCTTGCTGTGAAGAAAACATTTCTAATGGTATAAAAATAAGTCCTATGTCTCATTTTCCAGGACAGAAATAGTTTACGACATACTGTTATGAGTTTACATGTTACACTCGTAGCTTTTCAACACAATGAGTAATTTTACTGTCCACATCCCCCTCCGCAGCTAAAAAATAAGGCACAACAAAATGTGAGATATCTGAGGAAGGACTGTATGAAATGGTTGATATACCTCTGCTCTGGGAAAGCACTGTTGAGGGTAACTTGTAAATAATGTTGATTTGTTGTCTTTAACAATAACAACAAATATTAGGGTGGTAACAATAGGGAACACAGCAATGTGTGTTTTATATTCTATTCTTTTTATGATTATGGCGTGATGTCCTTTATGCCTCATACATACTACTATAGTGTTTGAGATATATATAGGGTTGATATATATAGGAAACCGTAATGAATAAGCACCCAATTATATTAGAAGCATTCAGAAATAATTGCACTTTACAAACTACTATGTGAAAAAATAAATGAAATATACTTGCCTGTAGAAGGAATAACAGAAGAACAATTCTCACCATCCTCTATTTTGCACATATTAGAATATAAGAACTCTCTAGTCATTGGCTCTCCAATTTCATTATGTTGATCTACAATTGGGTAAAATACGACATCCTAAATACTTTTAAATAATGCTTGAAGTTGTTATGTAACTAGCACATCTATTTAACAAACATTGCTGTTACTCATTATAATACTTACTAATTTTAAAATATGTACTATTTCTGTTGAAAAAACAAGAACAGTTTAGTGCAATAGTTATACGACATAACATGCTATCAACACTGCTTAAATTTATAGGGTTTAATATTAGGGCCTTTTCTGTGGCTGCCCCGGCTCTCTGGAACCAATTACCTCCTGAAGTCTGGACCGCCCCCACCCTATTGGCCTTCTGGAAAGCGGTGAAGACCTAGCTCTTCCAGCAGGCCTGGGGCAGTTGATTTCGTTATAGTGATCTTGCGAGACCCGGCCACAAATTGGAGTGTATGTGTTTTAACTTTTTAATGTTTTAATGTTTTCTTTTAACTTTTGTATGGGATATTGTTGCATTGTTTTATTCTCTGTTGTAAACCGCCCAGAGTCCCTCGGGAGTTGGGCGGCATAGAAATGTGACAAAATAAATAAATAAATAAGAAATTCTTGATAATTGATTATGTAAAAAGCAAAAGCTATATTGCTTATCTAAACTCAATGAACAGATAGTATTTTTATGCATGTGTTGCAAAAGCAGACTGCATAGTGCTTTCATTTTCCACCCACCAAATATTCCAGAAAAACAATGTGGGACGTAGGCTACCTTTGTTTGAACACCAGTGATAACATAAGGTGGCCAATGCTAATTCCCAGTGCATATGCATTTAGTGACAAGTATATAGTCCCTTCAGATTGGGTTTGAAAATAGCTAGAAGGCAAGTAGTCCTATCGCCTACTCTCACCTCTTCATATTTGACTGGGTGGTGGTGATGAAGGAGTACTATATTTATATTTGCTTAAACAGACATATAGCCCTCTGGGCAATCTTGTAGGATTCCAGATTTCATAAAGAGCTGCTTTCACATCCAAGTAAACGTGAATACAAGTCATCTCCAGGCTTTCAGGTTGAGCCCAGAGAGGTTGGAGACAGTGAAGGATGCGGGTCAGTGCATGTACTGTATGTTATACCTATTTATGTGCATTCAGGTTTTGATTATTGTCACTTGTGAAATTCAACATATGGATTCATATTATTTCATACATGGAACATATTCCAGAAATTATATGCATAGACAGAGGTTGCTTTTTGTGATATGGAGAGGGGCATATAAATGTGACTAATATCTTCTTGTAAAATGTGATATTTGGGAACAACATAATTTACAGGGGGGTTGGGGGAAAGGACTTTTTCATTACATTTTTCACCATATATCATCCAAATCACATCATTTCAATATACATTGAGTATAGAATTAGGCTGTACAGGACAACTGTACATTTATTTTCAGTTATATTTTTTAATGCATACATTTCTACATGTGGTCCTGATTTGCTTTGCAATATCATTAGTTAAGTTTTCCAAATACTAAGAACTCAATTTATAAGCATAATTAACTTAAAGTACTGGTTGCTTTAACTGGTTTTAGCAAGAAATTGCCTGTGGCCTGGAGAGGGATTAGCATTCACAAAATAAATCCCCTATTTATTTATTTTTTTGTCATTTGTGGTGTATTTCCTTTGTCAAGAATTGAATACAAACCTGGCAATAATGTCTCATTAGGTAGCTTATCTACTTCCAAGATAAAGTCATCTTTGAAGAAGAGGTATCCTACTATTGAGAACAGGTAAACCAAAATAAGAGCAAGAACAGCAGTCAAGATGATAGAACGTCCATTGCGAGTGACACTTTTAATGACATTCAGCAAGGTCTCCTCCCTGTACACCAAGTCAAAAAGCTGGAAAAGGACAGTTCAAAATGTTTATTCAACGCATTAACAATTTATGAGGTAATGGCCTATCAGATACATTAATTTTACATAAACAATTTAACAACATGATCGTTAAATAAAATCCTCATACTTTTTTTAGAAAAGACAGGTTGATTTTTTGTGACATTTTGACTAAAAACCAAATAGAAGGCCACACCTTGTTAAGCAATTGCTTCAGAATACAAGACACAAGTAAGAGTCTTAAGTTCCAGGAACGCAGATCCTGGATGAATGTTAGGAAAAGTTTCCTAACAGTAAGAGCAGTATGAGAGTGGAACCAATTATCTAGGGAAATGATGACCTTCCATTTGTTGGATATGATTAAGCAGAGCCTGGATAGACATTTGGTGGAGATACTTTATTTTTAATTCCTGCACTGATGGCCTAAACAGCCCCTTCCACTCTCTTATTCTATGTAAACAAAACAAAACAAACAAACAAAAAATCCCTAGAAACATTATTATACCAAATAAACTGAAAGAACAACGTTGGTTTGCTAACAGCTGTCAGCATTTCTTGATTTCTGTTCTAGAAACTTAGATGTTGCATGTTAAAAGCAAAAGAATAATGCACTGGTCACCTAGTTATAATGTCTCTGGTGAATTTCTCTTCCTAAACCCTCTTCAATTTTTAGTCTACTTTTTTCATTGTCATCTGGGTTTATTCTTAAATTTTGAATATTCTTTAGGGTAAAAAGAATATTCAAATCAAACTGGAAAGGTTTTCTTGCAGTCTTAAGCACTTCCTTCCAGCTGATAAAGCAAAAAGTTAAACCTCTTCAGGTTAAGTGTGCCTCTCCCCACTCTATAGACAGAATTGTTTGGTTTTCCTGGCAACAGTATGGAAGTAATTTGCTACCTTCTTCAGTGATGCTTTTGTATATTTACTTTTAAATGTTTCTTTTAAAAAATCTTGACTTTATTATTTTCACAAATGACTCAAGGCAGAGAACATACCTAATATTTCTTCCTCCTCCTATTTTGTTCACAACAACAACAACAACCCTGTGAGGTGAATTGGATTGAAAGAGAGTAATTAGCCCAAATTCACTCACTGGCTTTCATGCCTAAGGCAGGACTGAAATCCATAGTCTCCTGGTTTCTGGCCTGGAGCCTTCACCACTAGTTAAGTATTTTCCAGTCTACTCTAAAGTTTTGGCCCTCCCTTGATCGGAGTCTGCTTAGTATTCAAACTCTGATAAGATCAGCCAGATATAACCACCTGCTGGACATCTGCCACTTTAAATCCACCAAATCATGGGAAACTCAAAATTTCCTAATACAACTTTTTCAATAGCTAATGATTAGCTTTGTTAAGTGCTGAGGTGGTGCAGTGGTTAGAGTGCAGTACTGCAGGCTACTTCAGCTGACTGCTAGCTGCAGTTCAGCAGATCGAATCTCACCAGGCTCAAGGTTGACTCAAACTTCCATCCTTCTGGGGTGGGTAAAATGAGGACCCAGATTGTTGGGGCATTATGCTAACTCTGCAAACCACTTAAAGAGGGCTGTAAAGCACTATGAAACGGTATATAAGTGTAAGTGCTATTGCTATTGTTATTATGAACTAAGTATCATTTTCTCTGACTTGAAATTGAAAGAAAAATACAAAGATCTGGTGGATACAGAAAAGGAAACTATTTTTTTTAAATATACACACACAAATATTATTTACCTCAAGAACGTAATCTTGCAGAAATTTATGTTAACTGCTATGAAGCTGTTAGCCAAATCTCAGGACAGATCAAAACTTTTCCCAGAGAGTATCTCTGCAGTTTGATCATTCTCACCATGGCTTCTTGCAAACAACTATATAATTATGTGTAGATTCCCTAGCTAAATCTTATTGAGCATCTCTCTTGGACTTGATTTTGTGTTTTGGAAGGGAAAAGGTATAGCTAATTTCTGATCAGTTCTGTGTCATGGGTAAAACTGATTTCCCAGGAATCAGTAGGTTAAGACATAGCCTCCTTGGCATGTACACAACAAATTGCAATTCAAGACAAAGCTCTAAAAAGAACAGATGCTTTCCCTCCAAACAATTGCTAATTAATTTGATGATCTGTAACCAAACTGAACTGACAGGCAGTTTAGTCATTACATATATCTTTTTAAAATGGGTAATTTCCCCTGTTAATTAATTAGTTTCACTGACATTGATTTTATTTGGGTTGAGCCATTCCCCCCCCCCCCCATCATGGAAAGAAAAAGAGGCACTCAGGCTTTTAAAAAGTACCTTCAAAGCAGAAAGGAGGATGTTAAGACCACTTTGGGAATCTTTTTTTCCCCTTTGGAATAAAACACCCTATAGCAGTGGTGAAATCTAAATTTTTTTACTACCGGTTCTGTGAGCCTGGCTTGGTGGGTGTGGCTTGGCTTGATGGGCGTGGCTTGGTGGGCATGGCAGGGGAAGAATACTGCAAAATCCCCATTCCCACCCCAACCTGGGCCACCAGAGGTGGCATCTGCCAGTTCTCCAAACTCGGTTTTCCAGAACCTGCTGGATTTCACCCCTGCCCTATAGCATTTTACACTGACATTTATCAAGTGGCTTAGCAGATGCAGAATTGGTTAAAGATTTCTTTTAGATTCCATCCAGACCAGACAATTCTTTTAAATGAATAGATATAAATGTATTTAGCATCATCCTCTGTCTTTCACATCAGGTGCGTCACACTGATGGCGACAATAATGATACAAATCTCATCTCAAATCACCATATTGCAGGGTGAAATTTGGAAGTTCCTGAAAGTTATGGGTCATAATCTGCAACATTGGTTCAATGTGGGTTGATAGATGGAAGTTTTTCAACTTTCTGGTCAACTCTAGGGAGAAAGAGACTGGGACAAGTCACCCAGCCAGCTTCCTCACAAGGGAGGATTAGAATCGGAGACACCCTGATCATAGTCCAGTACTTTAACTACTATACAGGTAGTCCTCGATTTATGACCACAATTGAGCCCAAAATTTATGTTGTTAAGGAAGTGAGTTTTGCCCATTTTACGATCTTTCTTGCCGTAGTTGTTCAGTGAACCACTAGAATTGATGAATTTGTAACAGGTTTATTAAGTGAACCTGGCTTCCCCATTGACTTTGCTTGTCAGAAAGGTTTGCTAAAGGTGATCCCATAACTCCGGGATACAGCACCGGTCATAAATATGAACCAGTTGCCAAGCGTCTGAATTTTGATCACGTGACTGTGAGGATGCTGCAAAGCTTTCAAAGCTTACAGCTTTGAAAAACGGTCGTAAGTCGCATTTTCCGGTGTTATTGTAACTTTGAACAGTCACTAAATGAACAGTTGTAAGTCGAGGATTATCTTATTACATTTGTTTTCAGTGTTTGTGTGTGCGTGTGTGCGCACGTGTGGCTGTATATTTATTATAAGGTGGTCCTCGACTTACAACCACAATTGTGATCAGATTTCCATTGCTAAGTAAGGCAGTTGTTAACTGAGTTGAAGCTAATTTTATGGCTTCCTTTGCTACTGCTGTTAAGCAAATCACTTCAGTGGGTTACATGAATCAGGTGTTCATTAAGCTAATCCGTCTTTCCCCATTGACTTTGCTTGTCAAAAGCTGGCTGGGAAGATCGCCAATAGCAATCATGAAACTCCAGGATGCTGCAAACATCATAAATACGTGCTGGCTGTCAAGCAACCAAATTCTGATCATTTGATTGTGAGGTTGTCACAACTGTCTTAAATGCAAGAACCGGTTGCAAGTCCCTATTTTTAGTGTCATTATAACTTAGAAAGGTCTCTAAACAAATGCCTGCAAGTCATGAACTATCTGTAGTGTGTATTGATTGTTTGATTATGAGTCATCAAGTCAATATTGACTCTCAGTAATGACATAGATTTTCTCTATAACAATCTGTTCCTAAACTTGGTCCTTGAGGTCTTCCAATGATTGTGTATCTACTATAGTTATACTACTATATAGTACAGGTAATCCTCAACTTACGACCACAACTGAGTCCAAAATTTATGTTGCTAAGTGAGAAATTTGTTAAGTGAGTTTTGTCCCATTTTAAGATCTTCATTGCCAGAGTTGTTAAAGTGAATCACAGCAGTTGTTAATTCACTAACATGGCTGTTAAGTGACTGTGGCTTCCCCATTGACCTTGCAAAAGGTGCGCACATGACTGCAGGATACTGCGACTGCCATAAATATGAGTCAGTTGTCAAGCATCTGAATGTAAATCACGTAACTATGGGGATGCTGCAATGGTCATAAGTGTGGAAAATGGTCGTAAGTCACTTTTTCAGTGCCATTGTAGCTTCAAAAGGTTGTAACTCGAGGACTACCTGTATAGTACAGGGAGGGTGTTAAAAGGCAGTGTGGTGATAGACCAGTGCGCTCGAAAAACAAATGGATAGACTGGTGCCTCCAAAAACAAATGGGTAGACCGGAATACTCCAAGAACAAATGGGTAGATCGGTACAGCTCTGCAAGCAGTTAAAAGCCTGGTAGACCAGTACCTCTGCTAAATCCTAAAGAATTGTCACATGACCATCAAACCACGCCCGCAGAACCAGTAGTAACAAATTTTAGAACCCACCCCTGCTGCAGACCACCATAAAGGTCTCTGGTTATACATGTTTGTCAGGTAACACTATGGACATTATGATCAACAAACATTATCACAGGTAAGTTCCCAGACAGAAACGCTTACCAATAAACTGTAGAAAAATTCATGAACAAAGAGCCCCATTGCACAAATCAGAAGATATAGTAGATGATAAAGAAACTCTACATCCATGATCATGGCTCTGTATCCTCTAGTAAATGTTCCACAATTACCAACAAAACTCATCAGAAATATAATTTTGTTACAAACCTGCAGAGCAAAAACAAATAAGAAGATTAACGCATGGCTAAAATGCTAAGTCTCCATTTAATATAAGACAAGTTTAAAAATTATATAAGTGAGATATATCTGCAAAACCGTATCAGAGAACTTGCTTTGAAATATTTCCTCTTAAATCTAACACAGCTAGTATTCTGGGGCACAACCTTAATTTTTTTTATAACAAAATTCCTAGTTTGGTAAGTGGACAACTTTTCAAGAAATCCCGGAAAAATATATTTTACACTTACATTGAAAGCCCCCAGAAGAAACAATGTGGGCTGTAAACCAACAGAAAAAATTAATCGCAATATTGTAGAAGCTATTAAAGCCCTAATGCCATGGGGCTTAGGTAAAGCGATAACAATGGCAAGCGATATTAGCATGGCCGTCCAGAGTAAGCCTGACAAATGGGGCTCCAGTGTACCTGGCAAAAGAAGACACCCAGAATTCATTATTATTTACTCTCCCCTCATATGGCTCCACAGAGCCCTTGTCATTATTAACAACAATTTAAAACAATGCAATTTAAAATAATATCCTCACACATAAACCACAAATTAGAAGCAGAGTAAAATATAGAAAAGGTGCCCAACAGATTCCAGGAAATGTACGATAGGCCAGTCTTTTTCCAAACACATGAACCAAGGTATAATTCAGCAATTACCTTATGAATTTTCTGAAAACAAATTTATGGACAAACTGGCCTGGCTTGGCAATTACTTTCGGGAAACATGTTCAAGATTTCCCAGAAAACAGAAATGCTGTTTTCTGATTTCTTCATTCAGCTTACTAATTTACTAACGTCTAAATGCTGTGATGAACAGGTCCCTTCACTACACTTGAATTAATTAGTCTGCATTTAAATAAATGTATCCGTGGCCTGCCCCAATGACAACTTCTTCTATTTTTAGTCTTTAAGTCTGTAAATTTTGCAAGTATTGATGAAATACTATTTTAATCAGAATCATAAAACCTAGATCCGCTTGGATTTAATACCAGGATCTTAATAGCCTGAAGATGACAGCATCTCCCAGCATGTTACTCTACTCCTTAGGAGAAGCATCTGTTCCTTGTCAATTGAACTGATATGCCTCTAAAGAATTCCAGTCATTGTAGTTGGTCACAGCGATTTGGTTTGAGATTTTCTGCTTCCCGAAGCAACAGGGAATTTTAAGCTAAGATAAAATATGACATGCCTTAATTTGATCTTTGCAGACTTCAGTGTGAACTGACCTAACTTGACCCTGAGGACTAGAGTCCTTTAGACCCTGAGGACCATTCCTTTAGACTGAATATTTCTGCAAAAGTTTGAGCATAGTTCTTAATTCAACAATATATGAAAACATACTTCAATGTGCTTATTTTAAAACAAAATTATGCAAAAATATTATGTATCGTTATAATGCATATACTTTAAGTATGTATTCAAGGATATTTAAATATATCTTTTAAAAAAAATGAATGAAAACTTGATGGACGTATCAATAAAAATAATCTGGTCCAGAAAGCAAGCTCTGTGAAACGATTTTGAAATGTCTTAATGACAAACGTTAATTCTCTGATATGTGCAATTATAACTGATTGGCCATTTAGGTTCCTCTAATTATTCACATCTTCCAGGCTTTGTCACAGCAAACACTTAAGGGTATAATGATTTTTGGTGGTGTTGATTAGCATAAATGAACTTGATAAATTAATAGGTGATTTGACAAAGTAACATTCACTATTCCTGATAGTCAGAATTTTGTTTCCTGTTTTGGAATATATAATCCCCCCAAAATTGAAGAGAATCTGGAGGACAAACAGAGATAAAACTAGCAGTAATATGAAAAGGGACAGCACTGATTTTAATTATACTAGTTCACCTTGCAGTCCAAGGGATTCGCAGGAGTCTTCTCCAGCACCATAGTTCAAAGGCCTCAATTCTTTGGCGCTCAGCCTTTCTTATGGCCCAACTTTCACAGCCATACATTGCAACTGGGAAAACCATAGCCTTGACTATATGCACTTTTGTTGGTAGTTTGCATACTTACAAATATTTGTAAATAAGACAGACATCAGAAAAGTCCAATTTCCAAAGCCAGAATAAAATAGACCAGGGATGGGCAACTATGGCTCCTTTATGACCTGTGGACTTCAATTCAACTCATCTCTGGGGCCACTGTTGTCTACCCCTGAATTAGACTCAATACTTTTTTCTTAGGTTTCTCATCATTTAGGAAATGGTGAATTGCTTAGCATCGCAGTCACTAAAATGGCTACCAAAATTGAATCCTTCATTTACTTCTCTCTCGGCCTCAAATCTTTGTGGTATATAACTATTAAATTCTATGTTTTATATATTTGAAATATTGGTACCTCCTTTGATTCCTTTAAATGGATAGAAAAATGCTACCAGTAGATTCATAAGGACTGCAAGGTTGAATGAAATACTGCTCCAGAAGGACATGTTGCGGGAACACCAATACAAGATATGCTGAGCTGCAAAATCAGGAAAACAAATGTTTGATGGATTCAAAGGTAACTTTTAACAAGGAATAAATTTTAGAAACAAAAATTTGCCAGCTTTTCCTAGAATGACACACTAGCCACAAGAGTAACCTTTATTATTTGATTTAAGTCTCTCTTTAACTGCAAAGTTCAGAAGTTCACGTGAAGGGTTTTTTTTCCAGATCAAAGATCACATTAAACTTTTATATAACCATTTAAGCTTGTAAATACCACGAGAACAGAAATCACGTGCATAAAATACCCATGTACAAGTTTATAACAGCAGAATTTTAGTTTTCAGATTGAAACTGCATGTTGCAGGATATGATTTAACCTTAAATATCCTATTTTAATTTTATTTTATCAAATCACATTGCGCACACCTTCCAGACTGGGATCCACAGGAGAAGGTGCTTCCATCAAGGTGATAAAAACAGTGCTGCACAATATGCTCCACCACTATTTTTCATCACATATGGTGTGATAAGATAAGGACAAAAGGGTTGCACTTAAATCACAAGAGTGCAGTGCTGTTTTTGCCTTGATCCCCTTTGTGGATGCCTCTGGGTTATACAACTGGGGGCAAACACACAGACACAAAATGCTGGAAGAGGAACATATTAAAATCTGTTACACAATAACTCAGAAAGTGCCCAAAATCAAACAGAAAAAGCTTGACTATAAGACCAAGTAACTGCAAGTAGCCCAGAAAATTTTGTTACCTCTCATAAAACTTATAATACCCTTCTTTTTTCCCCCCTAAAACCAACAGTGACAAATTGTGACCCAGGAATCCTTTCACAGTCTATGTTGGCACAAGAAGTCTATGCTAAGATCCCAGGCTTTGGAGCAGCAGGTTCCCAGCAATAAACTGTAGGATTAGCAAGAATATAGCTGGCAGCAAAACAGAACTGTGTTTTGTCTTAGTAAGTGACAAGTTCAGTTCCCAGCCTGTGTTAAACCCACATTCTAATAACTTTCATTCCCTAGCTTTTCATGTTCAGTTTAAACATTGACAGTTTATCTCATTTGCTCACATAAAATCTGTGCATGAAGCACCACTGACATTTGTACAGATCTCAACCTTTCCTTGAAAGTCTACTTCTTTTAAAACAATACAAGTTGAAAACTTGCGTTTGGAACAGGGTACTCAAGGGGGGGGGAAATCCAGACAATCCAAATGCTGCTCATCATTGTAGCTTAGTGAGGAAGAGAAATCATAGAATTATAGGACTGGAAGGTACCTTGGAGATCTTCAACCCCCTGTTTATGGAAATATTATGGAAGTAGCCCCCTACCTCTGGAAATATTGCTCACCCACATTATGTGGCAGAGCTATTTGTCTTCTACCTTCTTTTATGTATTTTTCATTATAGGATGTCTTCCCAAACCTTTATTTTATTTATTTTATATGATGATCCATCTTAAAATCAAACTCTATAAGTATTCGGATTACAGCTCTCAAAACTCAGTCTAATATGACTGAGTCTGGGAGCTGAGCTTCTCATGTATCTGAAGGATGCCAAAAAATGAAAGGCTGTACATCCTAGAAAAAAATGCAGAGGAAAAAAAGATCCAATCTGGATCAGTCACCGGGACCACTATGCATATAGCCCAAAATGCACATTTTGCTAGAGAGAAGTTCCCTGAGGATGGGCTCAAGCATGAGTTCGAAAACTCGGAAGACTAAACCTCTGGTCCTGGTGACTGACCCATATTGGATCTTGCGACATTATCCTGGGACATGTCTATTTGCCTTTATTTATGAGAGAAAACAAAGATATCTACAAAATGGTAGGATAACATGATTGCTTGATATGAAGATACAAAACAATGTCTATGCTTTCTCTGCCTAATGAAGCAATCATCTGGGTCTTTAAAATCTGTATGTGTTTATACGGCAAATTGTGCAGTTAAACTCTTAGTGTATTTCAATTTCCCATCACTTTCTTTCCTAACAGTTAACTGAATCTGCACTACCTTCCACACTTCAGAGTAAGCATGACCAGAAAGAAAATCCTTGTATCTTTTTCCTACCCCACCCCCCACCCCCCACTATTGGTTGCATTTTAATTTGTGACATCTGGAGCTTCAAAACAAGCTTAGAATGTTGTAGGTCAGGGGTGTCAAACTCGCAGCCTGCGGACAGATGTGTGATGCGCTGGCCATGCCCACCCCCGGTTTAGTGAAGGGGAAAAAAAAGTTGTGATATGTCATGTGACGACAACATGATGTCACGAGTTTGACACCCCTGTTGTAGGCTGTCAAACAAGATGAGAGTGATGAGACTGTTATATTGTACAGAATGACTGTCCTTCATTAAGCCTTAGATGGGAAGGAGCTCTAGAGAACATAGTATCAAATATGACATGTATATAGTACATAGTGTCTATATGCGTTCCACTGGTTTTAAATACGAACCTATTTTTTTAAATAATGTTCTGCTTTCCTAAATCTGTGATGTGCTGAATGAGATGAGACTCATTTACCTCAGCAATATCTATAATGAACTAAACATGCTATTTTAATGCTTCTGCTCGCAAAATAGATGTCCCTTCCCTCAGCAATCAGAAGAAATCCAGATAATGTGGCTTTTGGATCACCTTTTTAGTCACCTCAAAGGGATGTATGTCTTAGTATTTCTTTCAGAATTCCTTTTTAGTATTCCTTTCCTTCCTTTCTATGCCCAAATAGTAGCTGAAACTATATACAAGCTATCAGATGTGAACTTGCGTGAAAGCAATACAGGTAGTTCTTAACTTACGGCCACTTATCTAGTGACTGAAGTAAAAACAACATGGAAAAAATGATATACGACTGGTTCTTATATAGCATCCCCACAGACACATTATCAAAATGTGGGCACTTGGGCAACAAACATGTATTTGCAATGATTGCTAGTATCACGGGGCCATGGGATTGCCATTTGCAACCTTCCCAGACAATTTCTGACAAGCAAAGTCAGTGGGGGAATCTGGAGTCACTTAACAACCCCATGATTCTCTTTGAACAAAAGTGAACAATTGCAGTGGTTCACTTAACAATGGTGGCAAAAAATAAAAAAAACACTGTAAAATCGGGAGTGATTCATTAACAACAGCCTTACTTAGCAATAGAGATCGTGCTCCCAATTGTGGTTGTTAAGTCAAGGATTATCTGTATCACACAAGAGAGCCGTGAATGCCTGTAAATTCAATTTATTATTATTTATAGTTCCACCTTAGAAGTAACTTGGTTAGATAAGCAGGATTGGGGGACAGTTGGCATTGCTATCTGCTCCATAACAACAACAACAACAAGCTAGTACCTGCAACATTTATTCCATCTGCCCATAGGTGCTGACAATAGCTTTGAAGGCTGGGAGATGTAGATTTAGAAAGCAGGCTAAATATAAGTCACTGTGTCTCCCCATACTAGGGATAAGTCTTTAAGCAGCCAATAAAATGTTCAAGAAATCTTATACCATGATAAAATTGTTAGTTTTTTGTTAATCCCAGCAGAGTTGCTTTAAAATAAAGGACACTAATATAAATAAAACTAAAACTGCTAGAGGTTAGTTGATAGTTTAGCCATAAGGTTGCAACCTGCATAAGATTCTTGGAACTGAGCTGACAGCCCGGGTTCGAGATCTGAGCACCCTGCAATGGGGTGTGCTCCCATTCCTTGCCCCAGATCCTGCCAATCTAGCAGGAAAGCATGCAAATGCAAGTAGATTAATAGGTACCACTTCGGTGGCAAGGTAGCATATAGCCATGTTGGCCACACGACCACAGAAAATGTCTGGACAACACTGGCTTCCTCAGCCAAGAAATGGAGAAAAGTACCATGCCCTAGAGTCAGACATGACTGGACACAATTAGAATCAGTGGTGAAATCCTACTCGTTCGCACCGGTTCAGCGAACTGGTAGTTAAAAAAAGCTACCGGTTGGTCTGAACAGGTATTTCTGACAATCAGCTGTGCCACACGATTTATATTCGTTAGAAAGCAGGAAATCCTGCTTTCTAGCGAATATAAATAGCGCGGCACAGCTGTTCTCTCCCCTCGCTCTTCTACTTACCTAGTTAAGTGTCTATTTTCTGCGCAAAGTGCGCATTTGGCATGCACTGTGCATGTGCATGTGTGCAGCGTGCATTTGGTGCACACTGCACATGTGCATGCAACATGTGTTTGGCACACACTGCGCGTGTGCATGCACAGAGCATGCATTTGGCACACACCGCGAATGCGTGGGCAGCAAACCGGTGGCAAACTGCGGAGGATTTCACCACTGATTAGAATCATTTAGCTGCTTCCTTGTACTGTGTATTTAAAACATTAATTGGGGATATAATGGAATAAATAGCAACAGGCTCAAGCAGTGTTTAAGCAAAGGCCTTCTGGAAACCTGAGAGTAGGATGTTTGTATGGAAAAAAGGAAAGGAAAAGAAAGGAAAGGAAAGGAAAGGAAAGGGAAGGGAAGGGAAGGGAAAAGAAAGGAAAAGGAAAAGGAAAGGAAAGGAAAGGAAAGGAAAGGAAAGGAAAGGAAAGGAAAGGAAAGGAAAGGAAAGGAAAGGAAAGGAAAGGAAAGGAAAGGAAAAGGAAAAAAAGAAAACAAAAAAGATGAAAACAAAAACCCATGAAAGTCTAATATTCCTTTTCTTTCAGGAAAAAAAGTTTGCAATTTTAGATCAGGAATACAATAACAAGTGAAAATCTTTTGTGTTCCCAGACCAAACTTACCTCTTAGCTTTTTTTGCCAGTTCATTTCATTAAAAAGGTCTTCAGAACTCATAAAGAAATCATTGATTTTGCTGCCTTGCTCATCCCTTTCTGTAGTGTAGTACACCCGGAGTTTAGATTCTTTGGTGAGGAACTCACATATACTGGGCACAGGGAAGACTATTTGCTCCATAGTACGATCCGATCTAACTATCTACATGAAGAGTTTAAAGAGTTAATTTGCATGGCGTATGGTCACAATGAGATTATATTATTTCTCAATATGCAAAACTTCTTGGAACTCTTGGTATTTTTTTAAAATGCTTGCTGATTTGCATTCATGTTAACACTGTTAGTTCTATTGCCACCATTTCTTTTCACATTCCAAGTCACCTAGGAAAAGGAGGTTATTTCCTCATCAGAATTGTTACAAAAATTATATTATTTCAGTTGCTAGCCAAGTATTACTTGGGTAGATGGATAATTTTCCTTTCCTTTCCTTTCCTTTCCTTTCCTTTCCTTTCCTTTCCTTTCCCTTCCCTTCCCTTCCTTCCTTTCTTTCTTTCTTTCTTCCTTCCTTCCTTCCTTCCTTCCTTCCTTCCTTCCCCCCTCCCTCTGTCCCTCCCTTCCTCCATCTTGTTGTTCCATTTGAAATGATTTGGTATATAAAAAGTCATAAAAAACAAATAAATCTGCACTGGTCACTTCCATCCAAAGTCACTTTGGAATTAGGCAATGCCTAAATCAAATCAAACCAATATAATCACTTCTTCCTATTTTTAAACTGATTCCATTAATAAAAATATAAGAATATGATTCTGTGAAAATTTAAACATGTACATTTCCTCAAAGACTAGTTATTTTTATTTCATAAAAGCACTGAATTGGGGGAAAATTTTAGAGTTAGCATTTGATTGGGGCAATATGAAAGATTTGTGTGATTTAAGAGTTTGAGGTATTTTGTAATATTGCTTGGGAGACAACTTTCATATGTGAAGCCCCAAAGCATCATGAAACTGGGGCATGACTTTCAGGAACCTGAGAAGCTGCTCAATATTTTAGAGAAACCAGAGAAAAAAGTAATAGCTAATACAGTAGCTCTTTAATACAAGTCCTTTCCTCTGAATGGATATTTTGTACATGGAGTCTGTGCTGTATAGCTCAGTAGCTCTGTCTATCGAAGGAAACAAAATGTTCCTAAAGAGTCAGTTCCTTTGCCTTTCTTGATACTATTTCATTTCCACTATAAAAAGTCCTTAATCCAAGACTTTTCCTGAAGTATACTTTCAGTTTGTTTACTTAAAAAAAAAAAAAAAACTACAGTAACCCAATCAAACACATTTTCAAGGTGCTGTTAGCCTTTTTTTAAAAAAAGAGAGAGAGAAAAAAAAAGAAAAATGAAGTATATTTATATTTAGAAGAATTGACATTCATTAAAGATTGAAGGGATTTTTTTTGGTAACAAGATATTCAGGACATACAGTAGAATTCAATTATTATTTTACTAGGCTATATAGGTTCTACACCAAATTGTTACTTTTCTTTGTACAGTTCCATTTAAGATTAATTAGATATAATTTGAGGTATTTACCTCAATTTGAGCTGTATGCTTGGCATAGAATTCCAAAGCTTCATCTCCATCTATTTGACCTCCAGGCTTCAACATGTTTTGCAATTCTTTGTTGTGGCGAGCAAGCTATAAAATAAATGAACAATTATGAAGAGCAGAAACCATGTCTCCTACTTAAAAAAATAAAACAAAGCAAAAACTCAAAACTATTGACTCAATTGCAAAATTGAGAAATAGCCAATTTTATTTTATTTCAAATCAAATCAGATATTGACTTGGTCAGATAAAAACCAATCTTAAATCATCAGTACTAATACTGTACTAGAAACAGCACTGTACTTAAGCTACTGAATATAAACAGGGAACCAATGGTGGGTTTCATTTACTTTTGCTACCGGTTTGTTTGCACGCGTGCCATTTCTGTGCATGCCCAAAAGCTTCTGCGCATGCACAGAGCGTACTTGATGACGTCCGGGAGAGTGGGCAGAGAATCCTACCGCTGCTACTGGTTCGCCCGAACTGGGGCAAACAGGTAGCAACCCATCACTGCAGGGAACACCCCACCCTCACTAGCGCTGATTATGTTACCTAGTCAGGTAATGAAACATCTGCAAGCAAACAAGCAAACCTAGAGAAAAATAATGTCTTTGTTAGAACCTAGTTTAAAATGCATCCCCCAAAAGTTGGCAAGTTGAGTATGTACAAAAAGTACAACTCTTACTTTGCAAAAAGCCACTAGTCAGCAAACCTTTCTGTTGTTTATGAATAATGCTAAAGCAACCATTTTCAAAATGAAAACAGTTTGGTTCTCTTTTCAATCTGTCAGTCAACGGGACCAGAGGTTTAGTCTTCCAAGCTTTCGGACTCGTGCTGTAGCCCCTCTTCAGGGAACTTCTCTCTACCAGAATGTGTGTTTTGGGCTATTCTCTGTGTGGTATTCATAAGGTACTTGTTGTATGTAACTTTTTAGATGTTGATTGGGGTAGTGTTGGCTATTTATTTATTTATTTATTTATTTATATTTTTATTTATTAAATTTATATACCGCCCTATTCCTAAGGGACTCAGGGCGGTGAACAGCGAACGATAAAAATACATGTAATACAAATGTTAATAAAAAAAACCGATTAAAATATACTAAACACTCTGGTCCTAGATAATTCAAGACATCCCGGTTTAAAATAAAATCAAAAAGCAATATAAAGGGAAAGTTAGGCCAGGCCGGCCTGCTGAAACAGGAATGTTTTGAGGGCATGGCAGAAAGTGCGCTGATCCGGAATCTTCTGTATCTCTGGGGGGAGCTTGTTCCAGATGGTTGGTGCCCTCACAGAAAAGGCTCTCCCCCTGGGGGCCGCCAGTCGACATTGTTTGGCTGACGGCACCCTGAGAAGCCCCTCTCTATGGGAGCGTACTGGGCGGTGAGAGGCTATTGGTGGCAGAAGGCGGTCTCGTAAGTACCCCGGTCCTAAGCCATGGAGCGCTCTAAAGGTGGTAACTAAGACCTTGAAGCTATTGTTTCCTTGTGCTGCTAAACCCTGGCGTCCTAAGTACTTTATAAGCTGGTGGTAAATCAGCACTCCTGTTGACTGATGAGGGGCCCATTCCCCAGGCTTCAATCACTTCCCTGGCTGGTTTTGTGCCTGCTCATCCAACAATCTTAGAAGCTGCAAAATTGAATGTATGTCCTTGTTCACTGCAGTGTGAAGCTACCAATGGTTCTCTTTTATTTGGAATGTAGAAAGTTTGTTATATGTTATATGAGGTGTATCAACTTGAGACAGACTTAAGGATGGAGAATCAGTGAAATGTTATGCTTTTAGAATGCTTATCAACAAATATATGTTTCAGCACATACTGAGAAAAACTGTATGACAAAGCACTTTGTTTAAGAAAGACAAATTAATTTGCACCAAAAGCATAACTAAAGTGGGCAACAGCAGGTTTTAGGCAAACGGGAACAACTGGCAACCATGTTTTATATTAGCCTAAAAATGCATCTTTATTTCGCCTAGCTACTTTTACTATTTGTGCCAGTATTAATAATCCAACAAGGCTCATATTGACACTCCTGAAATGAATTCCTGCAGTGCATGATAGCAATAGCAGTAGCACTTAGACTTATATACCGTTTCACAGTGCTTTACAGCCCTCTCTAAGCCGTTTACAGAGTCAGCCTATGGCCCTCAACAATCTGGGTCCTCATTCTACCAACCTCAGAAGGATGGAAGGCTGAGTCTGGTGAGATTCGAACTGCCAAACTGCTGGCAGGCAGTGATCAGCAAAAGTAGCCTGCAGTACTGCATTCTAACCACTGCGCCACCGTGGCTCCTAAACTTTGATGTTTCAACTACTATGAATCAAATGCTCTAAACTTTGGGATAAATTCTTCAGGTAAAAATAAAAATTTACCTGATGGGCTAATATGTAAATATTATGCCCCACATTTCTAGGAGATGCAGCAAGATCTTCACCATTCTCTCCATCTTCAAATTCAACCTCACCTTGCTGATAGGCCTTTTTAATTACTTCTACCTGTAGAGAGAGAGAAACACATTTCCCAAATTTGAAATATATATATACATATATATAGGAAAAGAAAACAAAATCCAAGTATTCAAGCTGATTCATATTTTCATTCTATTTCAGATATTTTGAAAATGAAACTTATATGAAATCATTTTTATTTCCTTCTATCCTTTGAAGCTCGGGATCACTGGCTCAGATTACCGATACTGCTGTTGTTTTTTTAAACAACTATAATTTATATCAGAAATAAACTCAGTGGAATGAATGCCAAAAATAAAGCCTTAAACTTTATCTCCAGCCCACACCTTTATTGCTGAATAATATATTCTGTCATACTCTTGACGCAGACAATTACTATAACTATATAGGTTTGAATTCCTTGCTTGCATTTTGTTGTTTGTTTAAAGCAGGACAAAAGAATACTCAGGCAGCTTTTTAAAAACATCTAAATGCCTACTTCAAATCATTACCCTTATAAAGTATTATTTTAAATCATATACTGTACATACATCTCATCAACATAGAGATATTGATTAAGATGTCCATCAAAATAAGTAAAATAAATCTCAGAATCAAAAAAACAGAATGATAAAATTTCAGCAGTTTCCTTTTTTCCTTTTTCACTATTTGGCTTTCATAAGTGAAGTGCTAGGGTAGTGATGGCTAACCTTTTTGCTATTGTGTGCCAAAAGCGGGGGTCGTGCGGGGGGGTCACCTGAGCATGTGCCCATACCCATAATTCTATGCGCCCCCCCGTGCATACACGCACCCCCCTGCTCTCCCCGCTTTTGGCATGGTGGGCCTGGTAGGCCTGTTTTTTGCCCTCCTCAGGCTCCAAAGGCTTTTTGGAGCTTGGGGAGGGTGAAAACGGCCTTCCCCATGCCCCTGGAAGCCCTCCGGAGGTCAGAAACAGCCTGTTTCCCAACTTTCGGTGGGCCCAGAAGGCCCGAAAATCAGCTGAGCTCACGTGCCCACCAATATGGCTCCGCGTGCCACCTGTGGCACGCATGCCATAGGTTCGCCATCATGGTGCTAGAGTGTCATAACTTCCCAAGCTTCTACACTGAACTTAGGTGTTGTTGGACATATTATCCTTAACCTCAGGTAATCCTTGACTTATAACCATAACTAGACAACAATTTCCATTGCCAATTTTAAGAGAATCACAAGGTCATTAAGTGAACCCGGCTTCCTCCACTGACTTTGTCTAAAGCTGACTGGGAAGATCACTTGTCCCTGGGATGCTGCAACCATTGAAAATACGTGTTGGTTGCCAAGTGTCCAAATTTTGATCATGTGACCTTGGGTTGCTGTGCAAGCATTGGTCATAAGTCATTATTTTTCAGTGCTGTCGAACTTCAAACGGTTGTTAAATGAATGGTTGTGAGTAAAGGGACTTCCTTTATTTCATTTCATTTTATTTCATTTGATTTGATTTGATTTATATACCGCCCTACTCCCGAAGGACTCAGGGCGGTGAACAGCCACAAGATAAAACACATAAATACAAAATTTAAAAGCAAAGTAAAACTGAATTAAACAATTTGGCCCAAGACAGATTTAAAACACCCCAATAATTTAAAACAGATTAAAATTTACATTTTAAAAAGGGAAAAAAGGGAAAAGATTAGGCCAGGCCAGCCTGATGGAATAAAAAGGTCTTAAAAGCACAGCGGAAGGTGCGCAGATCCGGGATCCTCTGTATCTCCGGGGGGAGCTCATTCCAGATAATAGGTGCCCCCACAGAGAAGGCTCTCCCCCACATTGTTTGGCCGACGGCACCTGGAGGAGCCCCTCTCTATGAGAGCGTACCGGCCAGTGGGAGGCTATTGGTGGCAGCAGGCGGTCCCGTAGGTAACCAGGTCCTAAGCCATGGAGCACTCTAAAGATGGTAACCAAAACCTTGAAGCGCACCCGGAAGACCACCGGGAGCCAGTTTCAGCTCGAGCAGGAGAGGTGTTACATGGGAACACCATGTCACTTCCATAACCACCCGCGCAGCCGCACTCTGCACCAGTTGGAGCCTCCGGGTGCTCCTCAAGGGGAGCAAATGTTGCAATAGTCCAGACGGGAGGTGACGAGGGCATGAGTGACTGTGAATAAGGAGTCCCAATCCAGAAAGGGACACAACTGGCGAATCAGGCGAACCTGATGAAAAATCCTCCCGGTCACGGCCGTCAAATGCTCTTCTAAAGACAGCCGTGAATCCAGGAGGACGCCCAAGTTACAAGCCCTCTCCTTGGGGGCCAACGATTCACCCCCAATAGTCAGTGATGGCGCCAACTGACTATATCGGGACATCGGAAACCACAGCCACTCGGTCTTTATAAGGAAACAAATGGGACATGTGACTTCTCAGAACAGCTAATTATTTCAGCATGTCTTTTCTTTCAAGTTCTTTCACTCAGTCTTTTACATTTTTTTTTAAATTTGATTTATATGCTGCCCTTCTCCGAAGACTCAGGGCGGCTTACAATGTGCTCAGCAATAGCCTTCATCCTTTTTGTATATTTATACAAAGTCAGCTTATTGCCCCCACAAACTGGGTCCTCATTGAACATACAAAGTAAAATCCTTCTGTCCATGAATGCTTTTGTTTCATTTTGATCCACTGGGAAGTCTGGCTAACAGAAAAGAAGGAGAGGAACTGCTTTTTTTCATCCCTTGAATTGGCTCCCACAGTACTCATGAAAGTCCTCCTATCCCTTGGAGCAAATCTTTCAAGATCACAAAAAGCTGATGGCAAAAATCAATAAACTGTCCTTGCTATCTATCTGTGAGAATGAATCCTGGATATAAATGCTACCATGTTGCCAAGATATATTTCTATATAGTTCAATATACCGTAATTTTACCTTATAAAACACATTTTCTCTTCTCTATGTGACCTAGCTTTGCCTGTAATCCCCACCATACAAGATATGATAGAACTATACTGCTCAAAAAAATAAAGGGAACACAAGCAGAAGACATCCGAGATCTGAATGAATGAAATAGCCTTATTAAATACTTTGTTCTTTACATACAGTAGTTTATACACTGCTCAAACAACTAAAGGGAACACAAAACTACTGTATGTAATGAACAAAGTATTTAATATGGCTATTTCAGTCATTCAGATCTCGGATGTCTTCTGCTTGTGTTCCCTTTATTTTTTTGAGCAGTGTATATTGCCAATACAGACGATCACAGTAAAAATGATACTGTACTGTGATAGAGAATAATGCTTCTTAAAATCTCTAATTAAGACAACCTAAAACATACCTATGTATATAGAACAAAGCTCTTTCAATTTACTGCTAACCATAATAGGGCTCAGTTAAAGAGAGGCCTCAGTTTATAAGATCCAAAATAGTGTGCTCTTAATCACACATCTGGCAGCAAGATAATTTCATGCTGTTCAAATTAATGGAAGCAAATTCTTGGAAACATACCAGTTCTTTTGGTCTCATGTTATAAAGGATCCTTTCTGCATTCTCACTGTCATGCCTACTTTCCATTATAGCCAAGAGTAACTTTGAGGCGTTATTCTGGAAAACAAAAAGGAACTTTAAGGAAAGTAAGCCAATTAAAATATCCATGTATTAACAAAAAAAACAAAACAAAAAGAGTATAAAGAAAGTGCAGATGAATATGAATACTACCTACTGCATTTTAGTAAACTCGACATACGATAAAGCAACAAAGAACAAATGAAAGCATCTAAAAAGTGCCTGTATGTACAATGAAGATAAAACCTGTGCTCTTTAAATACTTGGGAAAAGTAATTTACATTCGGAGCAAGGCTCTGGCAGTACAGTACACCCAACATCTGAAAGGCTACGAAACAGACCTCATTCTTACATAATACTTAACATAGTAAGTTAAAATCACGAATGTTGCATTTTGCAAAGTCTTGTTTTGTAGAAATACAGATTGCAAAATTCCATCCCTGCAGTAGTTGACTACTGTTGCCATTACTATTTTTTCCTTCCTATGATAATGGACAAGAAGGTTTGTATTTGATCACAGTTTTGGATACACACTCACCTTCCTGTCCATTATCATAGGAAGGAAAATATATATATTCTACTTTTTTGTTTTGTTTTCTATTTTGTATTATTTATAAATTGCTTACAGTCTTTGGGAACTGAACAGCATATAAATAATAAAATGTCACACAGCAGTCTACGTTGAAAACAAGTTAGATTATGACTAACAAATTCTAGTAAGAGCTATTTGTATAAGTGTCCTTTGAACTATAATGCTTAAAAACTTATGATTCTCTAAACTGTAATTCCCACCATAAAGTATCACTACATGAAGATTGTTTTATTGCAGTTTCTTTTCTTATCTATACACCTGAATCACCTGTTCCCTAATGTCTACATTTTCTAGAGTTGCAGTTACAAGGCATGTGTCAAACCCATCTGGTAGAGCAGATTCATGACATATGTTGTGATCACTATACTGGTTCCTTCAATTTCATAAATTGGAGATTGCATTTTCATAGTTAATTACACATACAAGAAATGAGTTAAGCTGCATTCTTTCAAATTTACATTAGGTCATGTTTAATTAATTTAGTGTAGTTTAAGTCTTATTCAAACTTAATTCCTCTACATGCTACCTTGTCCAAGACATTCAGTGAATTTCTTGACCATCTTGAGCATAAATGTTTGTTTTCTCTTGATCATTTTCATTGTTAAAGTATCTACTTACCTTCAGTTCTAATACAAGATCCATCCTCTTTTTTCCCAGGGGGTTGATATCATTGAGAATTAATGCTGTAATTATATCAATACCATTGGATTCATGAGTAGCAATGCAGTTCTGCATAAGGAGCGAAGTAGTGGAAAAAGATAACAACAATATATAGTATGATTATTTTATAAAAATAACCCACAGGTCAAAATTATGAGGGGAAGTTCTTCCCATCCCCCACCCACTGGATACAATATTTATAATTGTTTCCCCATATATATTGTTATAGAAAGAACAGCTGGAAGAAAATGAGACTACTCAACATATAAATGCCATAATTAATGACATTACTTCTGTTTTGTTGATTTACTGTTGGGAGAACTCAGCCACACCAGGGCCTGGTGGCTCAGCAGACTGATAGCATTGTGATTAATACCAGCTGTCTGCAATTACTGTAAGTTCGAATCTCACCAGGCTCAAGGTTGACTCAGCCTTCCATCCTTTCTAAGGTAGGTTAAATGAGGACCCAGTTTGTGGGGGCAATAAGCTGACTTTGTATAAATATACAAAAGTATGAAGGCTATTGCTTAACGCATTGTAAGCTGCCCTGAGTCTCCTGAGAAGGGCGGCATATAAATCAAATTTTTTTTAAAAAAAGAAAAAAGAACTGGGAAGATTAATTTTCCTTTCAGATCTTAAAATTTTGATCTCACATTTTTATTAGAGCATTTGGATTTATTTTTGGTTGCTTTCCACAGTTTATGCAATAGTGTGGAAACTGTTGGCTTAGTTACTATGTAATATAAATGTAATATAATATGTAATTATTTGAAGTTACTCTTTACCATAGAATAGAGAAGAATGAAGTTTGAAATATTATTGGAGAAATACCAGAGAATTTCAACAAAACAAACACCTGAGTCACAATTCAGTATATGTAGTGGTGTTATAGTAACATTTCTAAACAATCGTTGTAAATGTCAATATGTGCATGAATTTATATGTATGATTATGTACACTAAAATAATTATGGGTTAATTTGGAACTTCTGAAAAGCAGTACCCAGTGAAATTTGGATTGATGTAGTGGTTTAAAAAACAAGCAAAAAACCCAGAGATGGTAAGTTTTAGGCACAAAGGCAGCAAAATGATTTGGGACCGGTCACTTAACCCTCAGAAGTAGAGGGTAATAGCAAACCACTTCCAAAATGTTGTAGAAAAACTTTCAGGGACTTATCCAAGCAGTTGCCATGAGTCAAGATTGATTTAGAGCCACCCACCTGTGTGCACATGAGTTCCCACACAGAAAAAGGAGATTTGTTATATGGTAATAGTGGAGCAACAGCGTTTACCTATAATTTTCCTCTCCCTAATAGGAAATTTCCATACTAGCAAACCATACCTTTCTAACACTGCCATAACCCTCAGTGTAGGTGGACCTCCGGTCATACTATGCACCCATAAAATCACATGCATGTTTCTTTTCTTAACACTATAAGTTGAAACTTGAACATTCCAAAATATTAACAGGAATTCTCAGTGTTCCAAGTCAGCCTCACAATTTGCACCAAGCCAACCACATCTCCCATTTGCCCCAACTACAATACCTGATTTTCATGACATGGTCCCTGGCAGTACTCTGTCAAACTTTCCAGAGTCTGGTTGATCAATGCTACATTTTTTTCATTAATGTACAGCCCAAGCAGTCCAAGTCCTCCAGTTGTGCTTCCACAAATGCAATCTAAAAACTGTAATGTCTCACACACTAGGTTGTAATTAGTCTTGTTGTTTTGGCAACGCAGGAAGTTCTAGAGGTGGACATGGCAGTAACAGAGAAAGAAAAAAGTTATGAATTTCATTTTTTAACATAAAAACAGTTTATTCTCATAATTTTTCAAATTCAATAGTATGTGCTTGCATCTGTACTGGAAACACTTTTCTATCAACCCATGGCAAAACAGTCCTCTGTATATGCTGTTGTATGTATGAGTAGACTTTCCCATCTAAACAGCAGTGTGACATTCTGCTGCGGCATGGTCTTTGAGAAGCATATTTACAATAGACATCAACAGCCAAAGCACAGAGATCTGAATGGTCCCTTGTATGTATTTTTCATCACATGGATGGGGTGAGGGGGACAAGGCATCAGAACCTCCCCAATCTTTCTTCTCCGATGCTTGCTAAATCATCTTTGCCACATTGGTGGCATCTTTGTCAGTATTCCTGGAAGAGTACATAACAAATCACCGATCCTTTTATCTTCTTCTACTTTCTGTTCATCTGCTCTCTTTCAGGGGAACAGCTGAAACAAAAGAGCCAAAAGAGAAAGCTTCCTTTTGCTTTCCATTGTTTCCAAGACCTGAGATAGCACAGTGGTTAGAGTATCAGCTGCCTGCAGGCTGCCTGCAATTTGGCAGTTCAAATCTCACCAGGCTCAAGGTTGACTCATCCTTCCATCCTTCCGAGATGGGTAAAATGAGAACTCAGATTGTTGGGGAAAATAGGCTGACTCTGTAAACCACTTAGAGAGGGCTGAAAAAGCACTATGAGGCGGTATATAAATCTAAGTGCTATTGCTATTGCTATTCTATGGATGATGGGGAGATGAAACCCACTCACCCACCCAAATTTAGGACAGTCTGAAGGAAATTGCATTGGGTTCAGCCAGATAATCTTTCTCAAAAATGTGTTAAAATTTGCAAATGGCAATGTTTTTCTTCAACTACTAGGTGCAAAGTTAATCAATGGAAGGTGTTTTTTTTTAAGAGTTCACTGGTGGAATATTGAACAACTGAAATCCTTATGAGTTCTCTGGTGTAGTCAAGGATTCAGCTGTTCTGCCTGTTTCTTCTTCTAATCCAATTGAAAGAGAAAGTGGTAAAAATTGTGGTGTTTCTTTTTCCCTACTGCTCTACTACTGTGGGAAGATGTTAAATATGAGTGGGAATCAATGGATCCGTTGAAAACATTAATCAATAGAAACCACTTTCCCCAAATACCCAGCCACAGAAAGGAAAATAACTGGAATTTGCTTTTCCAGGGTGGATGGGAAGGATAAAGAAGCAGGAGAGTTCACAGTTTGGGGCTATAGTAAACAAAGTCAAGAGAAAATAGACCACAGCTATTCTGTAAATAAGAAGTTGAAGTCTGTAAGGGGAGTTTCTTGAACCTGTTTCACTTCTAGCCAGTTTACAGGCAGTATCAAGCAGTTTCAAGCTGCAATATGGAAAAGCCCTAAGAATCAAATCTAAAAATCTAATCAAACCTAAGAATCAGGAAACAATCAAAGGAAATAAAAATGTTTTTCAGATGATTTGGGGTTTCACAGCAAAAATCCAAATAATCTCACGCACAACAGTTTAGATCTAAGATGAAATACTCTTATCTCTGAAATGGGCAAGTTATAGGTTGCAGATGTTTACACTTCCTGCCCTATTTTGCAGCCTCCATTAGCTTCCACATGCCCACAAGGGAACCAAGAAGAAGAAAATATTATCACACAACTTCAGTTTCAAATTCTATACGATAATCCTTTTGCTGCTCAGTGAGTTGGGCTTTCCAGTTCATAACTTAACAATATATATAAGAATCAGCAGTTCCACACCCAGCAAGGCATCAGCCAGGGGGAGGCAGGGAAAGGGAAAATTGAGGGGATGAATAAAAGCAAGAATAGCAGTCTGAATGGAGCAGTAAGGCTTTTTACAGTCCTGATTGTGACAGAGAAGGAAAGCACCATTGGTTTTGCTTCAGGAAACCAAATTTCTTCTGCTGAAGGAAAAAAAACTAACAAATTATCCCTTGTTCTCAGTTTAAGTAATCCAACTCTCTTTTGAGAAGATGTAATTGTTAGACGTGTCCTTAGACGTGTTCTCGTACCTCAGGGGTTCCCACTTTCTGGGTTGCTAGGCACTTTTGAAATTTGAGAGCATGCTATGGATGTTCTTACAATATGGTTGCTGTGGAGTGTTTTGCTAGTCCCAAAGCACTTGTTTACTAGTAGTTAAACCAGTGAGAATATTTTCTTTCCTTCTTCATCTCCTACAATACCTTGACTATTTCAGAACATCCATTCATCCATCCATCCATCCACCCAAATAAAGATGAGATTTTGAGGCTGGTGCTGGGTTTGGCAACGTGCTAGCTTCTCAACTTGCTAATTAGAAACATTCAAAATTCAGATCAGGCCAAGTGAGGTATTGCTAGACACAGGGGGTGGGGGGTGGCTCATGAGTGTGTTTCATAGTTTGTGTACCTGCAAATCCCGGTTGTGGTTTTCACACAGCAACTGCAAAAACCGTAAGATGGGCTGCATTATTGTGATGACAGGACTCATCTCCAGTTCATCTTTGTTTTTATCTGCCACCGACTGTGCTCCTTCTACAGCAGAATAATGATCATCAGGATCGGCTTCTCTTCGATAGGTGTTAAATGCTTTCCTTGTTGCGGTGGAGGCCTCAACCAACTGATCTCTCACTTCCTCTGTTATTTGGGTCAGGGGTTCCCTTGATGCTATAATGCACAATGACAAATCCCATTAGCAAATAACAATAACAATTCCCTTTACCATTTCGAGAAAACTTCATATATCTGCCATTCAGCATTTTGCCTTTTTGTAGTAAAAGTATTTAGGTTAGTATAATAAGCTTAACAAGCCAGCCTGATTCATCTCCTTTCTTAGCAATACAGAAAAAGACCATTCTCTGTAGATTAAATAAACATAAATGCAGTCATTAAAAGTTTTAGTAAATGATGCTTAGTTATTGACTTGCTGGCAGGGGTCTAGAGACTGCCACCAAAACACCTAGTACGTGAAACACTATCAAGTCCTAATTTTCTCTGTGTTCACTGAAAGTATAGTATAATTCCTTTGGATCAACAGAAATTCCTCCTCCTTTTACACTTCAGCATATTGGATTGGATCCAGATTCTGTCACGATTAGAGCAGACTGCTCAGATTTAATGAAACTCGAGACAGCCACTGATTCAAATGAGCATAGTTTACATTGGACAAGGCAACAGACATTACGAATCATGGTTAGAGTGCTAGACTAGTGCCAGGGAGACCCAGGTTCTAGATTTCCTTGAAAGATGGGAGCTAGCTCGATGACGCCAGGTCAGTTACTTCCTCTCAGCCCTAAATGGCAGCTGAAAGACTGCCTCTGTTATGTCAACAAAAGCAACTTCGGTGGGGGGAAAAAAAACTCGCAGATCCTGCAGTCAAGTGGGATAAATGCTGGAAAGAGCAACCACCATTTTAAATATGACCAACTGTGGATGCAGCTTATTCTCATGCTGTCATTTTTTATTGCTTAATGAATAAAAATCCAAACTCTGCTTGGACAAGGATTCAAAAGAAGAGGCAACCATGCCTCCTTGACCCCCCCTGATATCTTAACTATTTATGAGGAAGAATTCTCCAAAATAGCATAGCCAGGAACATATTGACAAAAATCCTGTGAAATACTCAGGGAAACTTGGGCATGTCCTGCTGGGCAATAAATATGTGTAAATATATATTCTTGACTAATAGAAACTACCTAGTACACCAATGTTAGGAACAACTTCCTAGTGCAATAACTATTAAATATTAGAAACAATCTATTTTATTTCATCCTTATTGGCTAATATGTACTGATTGATCATATTTGCATGTCAGAACAGTGCACCAAGTGATAGAGAAGTTTAAGATTTAATTCTGAAAGTGCATCTTAATTCATAGGAGCATGGTGGCTCTCGTGGTTAGGATGCTGGGTTGGAGATTAGTAAAGTCTGCATTTGGGATGAGCTCTTTTCTTTTGCTCCAGCTCCTGCTGGGGACATGAAAGGAATCCCCAACTGGGTGTTGTTTCCACCCCCCCACCCTGGAGAATGGTGATGTCACCAGCTAATCTTTCCAACCAGGAAGTGATTGAAAAAAACAATCTAATTCAACTTTAGACTGAATTGAGAAAGTCTGCTTTTAATTACAGAATTCTAGATCCTACTGCCTGCAGAGCAAAGAATGTTAAGTGAAAAAATGAAGCAACACATCAAGCTGGCTGGCATACTAATGTTGAGAATACCTGTCACCATTTCAGTAATTGCCATTTCCCAAAAGGTTGAGGAAAGAAGATGATGTCATGGCAGGACAGCACTCTTTTCCTTGCTGTGAACCAGAATCAAGGGATCAATAAAATACTTAATCACATGATGAATTATGTACTTTCAGTTGGCCATACTCTACAGTAGCTCTGAAACCTTACCTCTCTTCCTTGCTGGCACATCTCTGTCAGAATCATCATCTTTCTTTTTATTTCCTAAATCACTAGTGTTAACTGTGACTGTGGCCTTGATTTCTTGCTGAGCAACTTTCATACGATCATAAAAAACTTTGAAGAATTTTTCTGATTTCTTATCTTCCATTAAGCGACAAAAAAAGGAGTGCTGTAGCAAAATAAAAGCCCAGGAAACTGATAGTTTAAAAATAAAAATGAAATATTTTTAATATCAAAGACATAAATTTTCAAAAAATCTAAACACTCTTTATGAGCTCCACAATTGGCTAAACTACTGCAGTATTACTAAATAAACACTGTTAAAGATAAACAATTGTAACCTCACAGCCAACGCAGAATTATGAATCAACTATCCACAACCATTAATTCGGAAGTAAGAGCAGAACAAGTAAAAAAAAAAAACAGTGACTATGGAATAATTTCTCCTCAATGTGGTTTGCCATTTATATATAAAAAAAGTTTACATAGGGTCATATATTTATAACTGCTGAAAATTGGGATATGGACAAACATAGACACACATAGAATATATGGCACCACCATCTTCCAAAACTTCCTGTTCCATTGCTGAATAGTTTTTCCTATTTCCATTCAAGTCTATTTTTATAGACATTTGAAGATGATTACAAACTTTGCTCATAAGCAGTTATTAACATGTCACTCTTCATATTTTGTATGACAATGCAATCTTGTATATATAACTCATATATACCATAGGTGCTACAGAGATCAGTAAGGCTTACTCCTAAATAAGTGTTACAAGGTTGCTGCCTTAACATACAACCTATTTGTGGGAAGTCTTGCATATATCTCAAATGTTCATTGAAGTATTCAGTAAAACAGAATATGTGAATGAGTCAGTCACATGCATCATACAACTACCTGCAACTACTGCAGCTATCTGTTAAGTGTATAATACCATGCCCTAACAGAATAACAAAATTACAAGAGTAACAGAATAACAGAGTTGGAAGGAACCTTGGAGGTCTTCTAGTCCAACCCCTGCAGAAGCAGGAAGCCTTATACCAGAGCTGTCAAACTCCCGGCCCACAGGCTGGATGCATCACACACTGGCCACACCCAGTTTAACAAAGGGGGAAAAAGTCTCGATACGCTACGTGACACTGCCATGACAATGTGAGTTTGACACTCCTGTATGATACCATTCCAGACAAGTGGCTGCCCAGTCTCCTCTTAAAAGCCTCCAGAGATGCAGCACCCACAACTTCTGAAGGGGAGCCATTCCATTGGTTAATTGTTCTCATTGTTGGGAAATTTCTCCTTAATTCCAGGTTGCTTCTCTCCTTGATTAGTTTCCATCCATTGTTTCTTGTCTTGCCTTCTGGGTACTTTGGAAAATAGGTCTCTTCTATTATGTAACATGTAGACCTGCTGCACCCAAAGGATTCAAGACATAAAAGCAAAGGTATGCACTACATTGCATATGCTGATCATAACAAATAACTTCGAAAGAGAATTAAAACATTTTTGCCTGTTGCTGCAATTAGCCTATATGAAATGTGTGTGTATGCGTGCACACATACGTGTGTGTAGGTAAATAAATCGTAAGAAAGACAGATAGGTACATTTGGTGTACGTGACTTGTAATGCTGAGAAGTAACACTACTTTCAAATAACTCTGCAAAGTACTGAGCAAAGACCATATGGTTGAAAGCACCTCACAACCAAGGATATGATTACACAAATCAGAAAAGGAGCAAGTAGGTCACCTTATGCAAAGTTAGCATTCTTCTGTGGATAATGTTGCAATCAGTTCTACTATGACACAAATCACATGTACTAAACTGCTCTTCTCTAGTGTCTGCATCTTGAAATGGTCTACTCTAAGCGAGATCATGTCGGGAGCTCACCTGCTATCCCATTTCACTTCAGTCACATATGTGAGTACCATAGCTCTTATCTCTCTTTCCTTTACCAGTATTACCCAATCCTATTTAGGAAGCCTCCACTGGCACAACATTTGCTCAACATCAATTTCCATCCAATGGAAAGCCAACAGGACCCTGAATGCCCAGTTATAGAAAGTTATAGGAAGATATATAAATGACCCCATAAAAAAGGTGCCAAGCTTTGAATTACATCAGCAATGAACAATCCTGAATAGGATTTGCATCTCACCTGGCACCTGGCAGGACTTTCTGTATAAATGGGGCACAGTATCTGTGAGGGATCTCACGAAGAACGATGGCTCGTTGAGGGCGCTTCCAAGAAAAGGTCAGCATGCAAGGATGCAATCAAATTAAGTCTTTATTTAGAAGTAAAAGTAGAGTAAAATAAGTTCCCAGGCATGGAGGCATCCATGCCTGGATTGAGCCCATGGGTCAGTCCCATAGGAGACTAGAACAAGAGCAGGGAAAAAGGGAAAAGGAAAAAGCAAAAGAGGGGAAGCAGCCCCTGTGCAGGGGTTCTTATAGGGCCCCTGGCTCCTCCCTTACAAGGTGTGTGAGGGGGCCGGAGGGCCATTAACTTTCCCCAATGGGGCTGCAGGGGCTGGAGCCCCTTGATTCACCAGTGGGATCAAAGGTGCCTCTTTGCCCCCATCTGGTGGCCTTTGAAGAGACTGCCATGGCTGGCACAAAACACCTAACAGTATCCTCCCCTCGGGTGATGGTGGGCAGTGGTGAGTTGCTCCCGGTTCTGTCCAGTTCTTTAGAACCGGCAGTAAAAGCGGTGGGAGGCTCAGCGCACCCGCCTGGATGTCATAATTGACAATCTGCGCATGCGCAGAAGTGCACGTCCTCCTGTTGCAAACCAGTAGTAAAGGTAAGTAGAACCCACCCCTGATGGTTGGGTCCCACATCAAATTCTAGATCATATGGTGACCGGTTGTAAACTGAGGGCATATACCAGTCCAATATCTGGTTTTTTTAAAAAATATAAACGATGTTGTGCTTCAATGGTTAGATGGTCTAGACATTAATATTTGAAAATTGGATCTCTTTAACATTTATATTTTATTGGGTTAAACCAAGATTTTCAAAATGCAGCCATAGCTCAGTGAAATCCCATCCACTAGTTCTAGGCTTTATCAAACAGCAAGTAAGCAGTTTGCTGCCTTTTGGGAGACTAATATAGATCTATTTTGGACTAATTAGTCCTCATCAGTTAGGCACACCCTCATCACATGTTTCCTCCCCGTAGAGGTCAAGTATTTGTTTTCTTCTCTTATCATAGGCCCTTTATGTGTATTCTCCTCAGCCGGGTATTTTCCTACGTAAACCAAGATTTTCAAAATGCAGCATAGCTCAGTGAAATCCCATCCACTAGTTCTAGGCTTTATCAGACAGCAAGTAAGCAGTTTGTTGCCTTTTGGGAGACTAATATAGATCTATTTCGGACTAATTAGTCCTCATCTAAAAGATACATGGCTGAGGAGAAATATATATTGCTAGTCCATGTATGATATGTCATACACTAAACAAGTAATAATAATAATAATAATAATAATCCATACTAGGAATTCTCTCTTCTCCTCCTCATTTATTCTTGTGCCTGGCAACTGCTTTCATCCAGGTTTCTTTTTTGTCATGATCACAATGTCACATGCCCCTCTTTTCTTCTGAAAGCTTTAGCATCTCTCATTTATTGGGCAACATTCACAGTCAGATCATTTACTATGATGTGCTACAAGCTGTTAAGAATATTTCACAAGTTCTGGGCATCGCAAAATCAGAATTCAGTTTAAGCACACTTATATTCACAGAGTTTATTTTTGATACTCAATAGATTTCTGAATACTGTATATATCGCAGATAAGCCAAGAATTTTAGTTGCCAAAATATATCCCCCAAATTGGGTTGGCTTAACTGCAGATGGTCTTATCAGCATATATACAATATGTATATGTTGTACATATTTTCGTACAAAATAAGCCCATCCAGATAAACCAACCTCAAACTGAATAGCAGTTTGCATGTCTCATTGTTTTAATTCCACAGTATACCACAGAAGTGCTGTTTAAATAGTAGAAACTTAGCATGAAACTATGAGTGATACAGCAATGCAGCTGACCTACTGGAACAAAAAGCTGAATTAATGATGCCTTAAGGATGGTTTTGTTCATAATAGATTTTGCTCATATTTGTGAATTTTTGCATTAATATTGGAAATATTTACCTCAAATAGGATTACCTAGGTTTGTGCTGTAGTTGTAATTATTTATTTATAGTGCTAACTTAGACAACAGGAAGCATGAAAATTTGCATAAAGAAGTTTGGCTTTCACTCAAATTTAGTAATCAGAAACTCCCTACTGTCTGCTTGTTTTAACCTGACATTGCAGGTCTGTGGCCAGAATTCTACATAAGCTATAGAATTCTAGCCTATATATTTCCGTAGAATTTATTTATTTAAATGTCTGAGAAAAGAATTATCCTTATGGAAAGCATTCATTTGCGGTGGGAAAAAAAAATCCAAATGGAAGTGTAATTTTTGTCTTGATTCTAAAAGGTAAGAAATATACTTTGCTAAACATTTATCCTTTCTTGGATGTGATGATTCTATGAGCTTTGCAATACCAACATAGTCAGCTTGGTTTAGTCCAGGGGTCTCCAAAGCATGCTTCCAGAAGTTGAAGTCCACAAGTCTTAAAGTTGCCAAATTTGGAGATTCCTGATCTAGGAATTAAGAAGCCAGGCTAGAAACCAGGAGATTGAGAATTCTAGCCCTGCCTTGGGCATAAAAGCTGGGTGATTTCAGTCTCATCCCAATTCACCTCACATAGTAGTTGTTGTTGTGGAGAAAATAGGAGGACGAAGGCATATGTTTTCTGCCCTGAGTTATTTATAAAACATAATAAAGGTGGGATTAAAGTAACTTTAAAAATGCCTGATCCTTTTTCATATTTCAAAAGTGATTAAAGAGCCTCATGTTGCTGAAAATTATGTCTAGTTTGATGAAAAGAAAGGCTAGGGGTGACATGCTGGCAGTGTTCCAATATTTGAGAAGCTGCCACACAGAAGAGGGAATCAAGCTATTCTCCAAAGCACCTGAGGGCAAGACAAGAAGCAATGGATGGAAATTAATCAAGGAGAGAAGCAATCTAGAACTAAGGAGAATTTTCCTAAGAGTGAGAACAATTAATCAGTGGAACAACTGGCTTCCAGAAGTTGTGAATGCTCCAACACTG